TATTCATCTCTCTCTCTCTCTCTCTCTCTCTCTCTCTCTCTCTCCCCCCCCTCTCCCTCTCCCTCTCCCTCTCCCTCTCCCTCTCCCTCTCCCTCTCCCTCTCCCCTCCTCTTTTCTCCTCTTTTCTCCTCTTTTCTCCTCTTCTCTCCTCTTCTCCCCTCTCCCCCTCCCTCCCCCTCTCTCTCCCTTCCCCTCTCAAGTATACAGGATGTCCCATTTTTAATGACGACCTCAAATAACTTTTCTATTTGTAATCGCAGAAAGAAACGTTTCAGACAAAGTTGTTTGGTTCGTAGGGGGACTGTCTCATTCTGCTAATTAATATGAACAACTTTTGTCTGAAACATTTTTTCTGCGATCAAAAATAAAAAGTTATTTGAGGTCGTCATTTAAAATGGGACACCCTGTAAATATATTATAAATGCATTTTAAACAAAAGTATGTATTCATATATCCACATTTTTTATGTTGAAACAAATATTTCATATATTATAATATAATGTAATACTTATAATATTGATATTATCTTTCAAGTTGCATTTTAATTGATTAAATAAAAGTTACATAATATATTAATATTAAAATTATTATAAAATAAATTCGTTACATAATAAATCACAAGTAAGTTTTACAAAAAATCACGTCACAATAAATTATGGTATTAGTCATGTTGCTAGGTATTTTTCGTTCCTACACAATATCTTACTTATTCCGGCTAAATATACACTATCAAATATTTGAACGGATTCGTGGCTTTCTGAAACTCTTTAAAATTCGTGGTGATAATTAACTGATTTACACTATAAACATATTATATAACTCTATATTCACTCTTAAAAGTGCACGATTTATTCTCTAGTAGATGTAAATTTTTATACACGATATGATCTTTATTGTCTTTGTTGCTCTTTCCATCATTGTATTAAATTTGTTGGTTAAATAACAGAAATATCGGTACATTTAAAAGAAGTGATGACGTGAAAAACTAAACTTCTGCGAAAATTTTAACCTGCATTTTCTTATTAAAAGCCAAAAACAAAATTAATAATATTTGTATATGTTGATTTATATTAACAGAGTCTATTCATGGTAAATTTATAGGTAAATTACTTGTGAAGATGTATTTAATAATTATTAATGCACTTACACATAAACTAAAAGTTACTAAATTAAAATGTCGCTAAATATATAAAATTTTAAATAAAAACTAAACAGAAATTCCGTATAAAGGACTTATTACATATAATTATACGATATTTAAAAAGATTAAAATTTTTATATACAACTAAAAAATATCTGAAATTAAAAATACGGACTTTTATTGTAAGCTTTAAATGTATATAAAAGTAAAAGTGCAAAAATGCTTTTAAATATTGCTGTAATCTTATTTTTAATTTTTAACTTGTACATAAATGTATTACGAATGTCATCATAAATTTTCTACACTAAATATACACTAAATTTTAAACACTAAATTTAAACACTAAATTAAAAACAAAAAATACACTAAAAAGTTCTCAATTATTTCTTAATTGTAATCCGCTCTTTTTAATTATCAATTTTTAATCAATTATTAATTTTATTATTTCGTACAACACCTTGTGCCTTCAATGCAGTCATGTTTACGAATTCCTCCTGCGTTCTCCTTTTCCTTGGTATCGTGTTTACTTCTTTCTCTTTTATGACTCTCATGCAGACTCCTCATTTTCTGTCAGTACATTCTTGAACTCTTGCCTCTTTTCCTCATTTTAATTTTATGAATCCAATCGGTGACAAGGCTATATTTTTTACGTATTAGTGCGTTTGCAATTCTGATTTTGATTTACTACTAGCAAGTTTTTATCGCATCACGCGCGTAGCAAAATTCGACGGTGGGGATTACAGAAGAGACGTTTGCTGGGTAACGGTCTCGGTTACGTTTAACCAGTGTGCACGATCAGTTTCTGTTAGGACGCGTCTCTCTTCTCATCGATTACCGTGAAGCTGTAGTGTTCAAACTTTTTAAGTGTGTCAACCTCAAGGAAAAGTCATGAATACAAGGTTTCTAAGTTTGTGAAATTAACATTCTCACAAGATTTGCTTGTTGAAGAAGGTGAGCATGCTGCATGATATGTATTTTGTTTGTATTTTGAGATTTTCTATTCAATCTGTATCAAGCTTTTTCGAAAGCAAACCAAATATAAATGTCTATCATATCGATTACTTGATCTTACAATTGTTTAATATTAACGTAATAGATAGAAGATTGCATTGTTAGATATTTATAATTCTCGTATATTCGATCGCAATGCTATAAGTAATAATGCGATTACAGTACAATTTGAAATAATAATAGTATCTAAATTAGTAGCGCTATGCTCTAAGCTTTGTTGTGCGTAACATTTAGTTGGTGCCCAAAAATTTAATTAAATTTAAATTAATGATAGTTTATTGAAACAATCTACACTGGCCAATGTCTTTATTTTAAAGAACTAACGACGTTTCGGTCCGGAATTTGGACCTTTCTCAAGTATTCTTTTCACTCAATTTCCATTGATCACATATCGCTCGTTTGGCCAATGTCGCTAGGTTAATAAGATATTGGTAAAAAATGATTGCACTCTTTGGTTGAAGAGTGTAAAGTCAATTTTGGTTGCGTTGTTAATCTTGTGACACAAGTAAAAATGTCGAGTGTGTTCGTCGAGATGTCGGATCGAATTGATCAATCAGATTGATCAGTTGATCACGAAAGTTGACAACGCAATATATATTTTAATTTTCAAAGATGTTACAGTTGAAATATAAATCAGCGGACGCGTTTCGGCACGCAGTGCTTTCATCAGCGCAAAGTTAAAATTAAAATTAAATAGTTATTCCGTCTGGTACACAGTTGTCAATAATTAATACAGTGTAGAGGGATTGAGACGGATAGGATTAGTCAATTGTAAAAAAACGCAGCTGAGGTAGCCGGGCGCAACGGTTGTGGTCAATGCTTTATAGAGACAAATCCGAGTGCTATACCAGTTTGGATGGCCTATATAGAACTTATTCTGATTGATTTAATTTGGAGCCGATTTATCTAATAATTGTTTTTGTTATAATAATTTGGTGACCGTTTTTAATGTGGAATACGGTTTGAATTACCTTAATTTCCCTTCTTGACCAATTCCGTTTTTGACTCCCAGTTGATTTGATTGAACTTACAGGTCCTCAGAGTGTTGAAGAGAAATCGACCGTTTAAAAAGACCGTGTAAAAGGTGATGCTTACTAGTCATATTGATGTAGGATTGTTTATAGGTTAATGTTATTTCTGTATAGGCCCCGTCCAGGAGCTCTGTGTCGTTTTGGGAATTAATTCCATTATATTGTTTTTTAATGTGGATTATTTCGCTTTAAACGGTCGATTTCTATTCAACACTTTAAGGAAGTAAGTTCAATCAAACCAACTGGGGGTCAAAAACGGAATTGGTCAAGAAGGGAAATTAAGATAGTTCAAACCGTATTCCACATTAAAAACAAATTATCATAACAAAAAATAATTATTAGATAAATCGGATCTAAATTAAATCAACCAGAAGAAGTTGTAGGCCATCTATGTAGGTCATCCAACCTAACCAGGTTGGATGACCTACATAGATGGCCTACTGGTTAGTCTTAATGCAGATCAGAAGTGTATAAAATTACTACATACTTTTACAAACATTTCAGATTTTCCGAAAGTCCGAGATAAATATAAGTCAAGAGTCATTCTAATTTTTTTGGAAATTACATCGTCAACATGACTAATCTCATACAACTTGTTGTCAGCAATTATAATGAAATTTTAAAAAATGTTAGAGGTAAGTTTTTACGTCATTTTGTTAAAACTATAACACACACACTTACTTCATAAATGAATTCAGAAACTTGTAAAGTATTAAAGTACATTTTTCTTCTTTTAATGGTACTACAGTCAGCCTCTAGTCCTGACTTCTTCATCCTAAATTATGTGTACAAAATAAATTTTTTATTCTTACATAACATTTATAGTACAGCCGTATGCATTAACAATGTCAAATGCACCCATTTCTCAATTTACTCGATACATTTTATACGCCATTTTTTACACGATTAAAGTTCCTTTATTTAAACGGGAAACGAAATTAAAATCAAATAAAAACCAATGAGAAAAGCATAATCTCGTTAGTACATAAATTGTAATATACGGGCTTCCTGTTGCGTATTTTTTTGGTATTGACAAACTCTATTTACGTAATTTTCAACTGCGTGAACAAAATACATAAAACAAGTATTATATGTAAATCGAGGAACAAGTGTATTGTATACAATGCGGACGTGATAAGTCACTTTGCGGTCGATTATTAATTGATTCTGCCCGCCGCTATTCCCTTTACCCTGCCATCCTACGCGAAGTCCACGAGCCGCTCGTGGCTCAGGAGCATAAATGTGTTTTCAATAGCTTCCCTCGTCACCCTTGAGGTACTATTGTTAACGCGTTATTTTTATAGTGGTATCCCTAGTAGGCATAATCCACTGATGACTGATTTTAATCAACCTATCTCGCCGAGCTCCGGTATACAAGATCAAGTTATTACATAATATTTAAAAAATATAATTTATATGACTACAATAAATCACACGATCCATATACTTGTAGCTTATGCAAAGTACAGAAAAAAATCGTGCAAAATATTTTTTTTAATGACAATAATATATTGATATTTTTTCTCATACGTTATTCATAATATTAATGTTTTATAATGTAAACATAATAACTAAAAGCGTAATAATCCGCATAATTCACAAAGGCGTAATAATCCGCCTAGTTAACAGATAAATTTTAATAAACTATTATAATTTTGTGTATATTCCGATAATTTACCGCAAAAATTGTATGTTTTTTTGTTGTATACTTGCACATAATTTATTACTACTAGAACATAAGGTACCTGCTATGCATCCACTATTATTTATATATTTAAAAAACACTAGTTTTAAAAAATTCTCAAAAACAACGTTTCTCTATACAACAGATCCGATGGTAGATAGTTGGCCTTTAATGGAATCTCCGGGTCCTATGTTGTGTATCATCGGTACATATTTGATATTCGTCTTAAAAGTGGGACCAAAAATGATGGAAAAACGACCAGCCTTTCAATTGAATACCGTTATGATCTTATATAACGGACTTCAAGTATTATTCAGTATTTGGCTGACAACTTTGGTAAGTTTAATCTTCTATGGTACACCCAACCTGCTAGTATTTAATATTATCAAAAATAATAAAAATGTGTTACGATACATAAATACTCTGTATCACATTTTCTCATATTCTATATTCAAAAGCATGTTAGATAAACTTAAAAATTGCAAAAACTTTAGATGAACTTATTAATTGTATGTTTAATTTGTTAAATAACTTGACATATAATTAATTAATACCATTCAAACTCAAGATTTTCTAATAAAAATTTTTAAGTTCTGATTAATATTCTTCGAACTAACTTATATAGTATATAAAACTATTTTAAATCGAGTAAGATTAATACAAAGAAATTAAATAAAACTGATTTTATTAAATTATTATCTCGCGTATTTTAAAATACAATAATCTATTCTATACTATTTCAGATATTAGACGTCAATTTTAAAAAAGTGTTTTTTGCTCATGGATGTAATGTTCAAAAACATTTGTTACCTAATTCACAAACCACAAATGCACAAGCGGTAAGTACTTTTGCCATAATATCGAATTTAATTTAAATAATTTCTACAATTTTTAATAAATAAAACATTAATTTCTCACAATCTATATATATATTAAATGTACAGATGTCACGAGGTGCTTGGTGGTATTTTTTCTCAAAAATTACCGAGCTTCTTGATACGGTAAGCAAGTATTTAATTTAATTAAATAACAGAATTAATTAAATTAATTGTTTAGTCAAAAATTAAAATATTTAACTGAACTGACACACAAAGCTTTAAGAAGACAATAAAGCATACATATATCACGCTTGGTTATCGATTACAATTGGCACTATTGTTTCATCAGTTGCTCAACGTAAGGTATTGCGATTAAACATTGTGAAATATGGGCATTTACTCGGTGTTAACTCGGTCATCAGGAAAGAAGTTGCCGACTGTTCACATTACCTTTAATAAATGGGACAATCTTTTTTAAATATTTTCTTCTGAAGACATAACTATTTGTTTTAAAGTGTATGTTAGAAAATATAAAAAATATATTGAGTACTTGAAACAAAATTTGCAGAAATAATATATGAAGTCGTCGTAAACAAAATTTACAAATATAATTTATATAACCAATAAAAGTTTTATTTACCAATTTATTTCTTTTATTATTAATTATTAAAAATGTAAAATATTAGGAGAAATATAATATTTCAATCAGTTCGTTTTCTTTTTCAGGTATTTTTCGTTTTGAGAAAGAAGCAAAATCAAATTAGTTTTCTTCATGTTTTTCACCATTCTATAACGGCTGTGTTCTCATGGGCCTATTTGAAATTCCTGCCTGGTGAGCAAGGCGTTGTCATTGGTTTTTTGAATTCTATAGTCCATATTATTATGTACAGTTATTACTGTATTGCGGCTCTTGGTCCTAAGTACAGAAAATACCTCTGGTGGAAAAAATATATGACTTGGATTCAGCTGGTAATTAACTTTTACATAGTTGACTACTAAAAGCAAACTACAGATTTTTTAATATTTTATGTGTATCAATTTCTATTTATCTACTAATAAAATCAATTTAAGATTTATTTCTTTTTAATATTATAAGTTTAATAATGCATTATTTTTATATTATATTCTATCATAATATTTCTGATGTAACAGACATATGATAAAATCTCATTATATAAATGTCTTTAAATTTAATTTTTTTTTAGTTTTATTTCATTAAAATTATAACGAGCATTTATTTAATTTGTTTAATATATAATATTTTTATCTTGTTTCTTCAACAAACTAATTGCGATTGGAAATGTTAGCTATACAAATCAAATTTAATATTTGAAATTCTCTTTCAAATTTCAGGTGCAGTTTGCTTTAATGTTAGTCTACCTAGTACTAACATTAATCTTTGATTGTCGAACACCAAAAGCTCTGACTTATTTCTTCATGACAGTTGTAATTATCTTTATGTATCTATTTAGTGACTTTTATCGTCAAGCGTATCAAAAGAAAATAATTTAATGAGGAATGCTTAATTTTGAGAATAATAAACAAATAAGAAAAAAATAATTTAAATATATTTATAATTAAATTTTATATAAATAGTAAGAGAATAATATTTATAAAGAAACATGGAACAAAACGGATACAACCTATTCGCAGAAGCTAATGTTTAAAATGTGTCATTTGTTTTCATAATTAACTCAAGAAAAGTTTGTAATAGATAAATGTACATATACAAATATAAGGCACGGGACGGTATTGGTCGACATTCTCGCAAAGAATATGTTGTCGATCCGGTTGCTTTGTGTCGCAAATAAAATACCTATTTGAATTCACAGATTCAAATAGCCATCCTTCTTTAATAAACTTATTCTATTAATTGTAAGCCGTAATAATTATATACTGATACAAGAAAGCTTCATGTTTCTGTGACGATTTAATCTTCAATTCTCTCCAAAAAGAGAAAGAGGCTGACTAATATTATCGTGTCAAGTGATTCAAATAATGAGACACTGTAATACATTACTTGTTCGTTGATGTTGCTTAATTTTGTGTACTTCTCGAGTAACTTATCGCCGGCAATCGAAATATTTCGTTGTTGGCAAAGTGTTATTAATAGTAATGAGTTTTACATTTGCGTGATTTATGAATTCGATATGCTACTGCGTATCTTTCCCATACAGCACCAAAGCTTTCAGAAACATTTCAGAAAGCAATGTTGCAATGTTTCTGAAAGCTTCGGTGCTGCATGGGTTACTAAACGTTTATTTGACTTGTAGTATCGCGCAAAGATGTATTCATGTTATACATATTCAAACATGTCGTCATTGAAGTAACGCAGTGGACAAACCAGGACAATCGCGAGTGTTTCAAATTTACATTTAAAAAATGTGTGTCAGAAAATCTTAAAATATTTCAGAGTAAGATATTTGAGACTGATATGTGGTCTTGGTGTTGTTTTCGTCGGTGAACACAGTACGCTTTGTTCACGCGAGGCCACGGCACGGAACACGGATGCTGCCAACAGGCAGCTCAGAAACATTCCGTGTGTCATAGCGTTCGGATCTCTCGATCGTTCTTTGTGTATAATACGCATTTAATTAACTAATTGTGTTACGTTTAGTGAGTCGTGTCGGTATCGAAGTGACGAATACCTGGCAAGTAGATACGTATTTTGCACGATCCATTCGCTTGTGAGAATTGAAGTAACAAGTGACGAGAGCATCGACCTGTTAAAATATTATTATATACAGGGTGGGCCATTTTAGTCCGTACACGGTAATATCTCCTCAGGTAGGGGTGATAGCGGAAAATGCCTCAGACAAAAGTTGTTGAGTTTCGAGATGGACATAAGATGGTGTCATTAATTTAATCTTGAATAGTCATTTGAAACTCACGTGAAGGTCAACTTCAATTTTTTAAATGGAGATCCCTATTGTTTATTATACTATATTATTCTACTAATTAATATGAACAACTTTTGTCTGAAACATTTTTCGATTTGCCTAATACTTTTTGAGATATTCAAGAGAAAATTTATAACTTTTTCAATGTCTAGCTATGATAGCTCGATAACTGTTTGTCGCAGGGAAAAGTAGTACAGGACTTTTCGACTTGATTTAATCTCAGGAATATGCTGTTACAATAGTGTTCTAATTATTGAAAATTTTTATGTATTGTAACGTAATTTTAAAAATATCGTAAAGCAGACATAGGAAATGATTTTGAATACTTATTGTTAGTTGCGTTTTATTTCCCCTTCCCAAAGTTTTTGAATATAATTTTTAATTTGTATGTTTGACCTCGTTCCAGGATTCCATGTTCAATATTTTAATCAATATTCCACCCGTTGTGAGTGTGGGTAAAGTAATATGCAACACATTTTTAGTGAGCCCACACATAGAGAGAATTTAAAAAAATTGAGAAATATAAAAATAAAATAAATGGTCAAATAACATTAATATTCAAGTATTCAAATAATGTTCAAAGATACTAAAATCAACACATGTTTATGCATTTAAAAACGCATTCTCGATCGAACGAAAATATCGTCTTGACTCTGACGAGTCTGGAAAACCAAACGCAAAATATGCGATAAACATCCATTCGTTGAAACGTAAAAAAGAGTATATTCAATGTATATTATTTCTGAAATATTGTCTAAAACATTGTTATTCAGTTTTCGTTTATATTTTTGGCGACCAAAGGAAAATTGGACAATGTTTTTATAGGAAATCGTCTGTATTTTGCACGAAGTTATAAAGTGTGATTAAAAAGATTTGTGAGTGCTAGATAATTTTAATTAAATATTTATCAACTCAGAAGTTAGCCGACATTTAGTTACTCTTGACAAAAAAAAAGAGACGAAATTCCATAGTTTGATAGTTTTCCTTTTATAATATTGAATAATTTAAAATATAAGAAATGGCGTAATTAAAGTATTAAAACATTTCGGATAATAACATCGTGATTACCACGTGGCTTTGGTATGTTTCATCGGCAAAATATCTGAGAAAAAAGAAGATGACATCGAGTAACAACGGCGTAGTCACGCGTTCTACTTTCGCGTGATAAAAGATCGCGATATTCGCGGGCGTGTCTAAATTATAATGTCGCGCTTTGAAAGCTCTGTCGAAAAAATATAATTTCTTTAGATTCTTGCCGAAGGAGAAAAGAAGCCCGAAGAATGTTATTATCGTATCGAGTGATTCTACTAAAGAGACGCCGGAATACATCATCCGTTCATTAACATTTCATGAATTTGTACGTTTCACGCTACATAATTAACGCGCCAGCAATCACGATTTTTCTATGTGCACAGTGTTAATAATGTACACTGATCAGTAGAAAAATATGTAATATTTGAAACTATAATTGCATAGTAAAATAATTGTAGTCAGGAATATCATTCTTACAGTAATTATTACTATAATATCAGTAATAGCAACCATATAGACACAGTGATGCTATTTTAAAAAATTACTATAAAATATAAGCTTTTAACTATTATTCCGCTAAAATATCCAGGTAATAAATAGTAAATTAGTTATAGTAAATACAATCACACTAATAGCAAATTTAACTGTATTTTTATCATCCACCTTACCAATCACATAATAATCAAAAGTGAAGTGGTTCGGAATGCCCTCACTAGAGAGACGCGCGGTATAAAACTTTCTCGTAAGAAGAAAACCGCATAGGGTGTTATAAATACGGACAAGTTTATACCTTCGTATAAGATTACTGATATTTTCTTTGAAAGATATTTTCTTGTATTATTCTTTACGAGTGCAAAGTAATGTAACCAATGAACATAGTGAACGCAATGTATATATAATAAAAAAGTGGGGAATATTACTTCCAATATAAATACGATTATTACTATTACATATAGTTATTCGAAATTTTATGAAATATTCCAAATATTCTTGAAGAATATTCTTAAAATGTTCATAGGAGTGTCTTGTGCTATCTGGGGAATAAGACAAAGACGAGGGAGAATTCCATTGATCGTTCCATTAAAATACAATAAAGTCTCGGGAATAATTAACATCGGAAGTGTCATGTAAAGTGCCGTTTGACTCTTCTCACCCGTATCACTTTCGTGAGGGTTGCGTGTGTTGCGATGCGGAAGTGCGCGAATCAAGTGATTTAAGTAACAGAAAACAGCGATGCGTGAACCGCGTAATTTGTATCTCGCGAAATTTGCACGCCCCAATTTTACAGCGAGCATATTTCAAGTGCATTTTTAAATAGTTTCCTTGGTTCAATTGGTTACTGAATCGATTCATCTCGTATCCGCGCGGACTTGACATGAATATTGTCGACGTTTGAATCACTCGACAAATTTAAATGTAACGGGAGAGCGTCATAATACATTGTTTTATTTCTGCGGTGTTTAATAAAGTATCTCGGTCATTATATTATGACAATTCGCTTTCATTCGCGTTTTCGTCACTGTTGAATCGACAGTATGTGATGAAGAAACTTCATATATTTTTGTGAGTGAGACAACTATGTTTTAAATAACCGAACTTCTTTTCACGCGCGAGAAAGAAATCCGCGAGCGCGCGCGCGACGAAAACAGGTATACGAATTGCGCGCGCTACGCGCGGTCGAGCCGCCGACCGCCGCACGACGAGCCGCGGCGCGCGATTGGCCGCGCGCCGCGGCGAGCCCCCCGGGATCCAGCCAGTCGCGCTCGCCGGCTAACGGCCGGCGGCGGCTCGAGCCGCCGCACCGTCGCGTGCCCTTGACACTGAGTAGCGTAAATAACGTTTGTATTACCTTCCGCTTCAGTTAACGCGTGATTCTCAATTGTTTTTTCGGCGTTTCAACGTACGTACCGAGGTGAATCAGAAGTCAGTCGCCCGCGGGATCTCGAGTTGGCAGGACGTGTTTCGTGCGTCGCACGGCCGGTCGAGCCGCCGAACGCCATTCTCTCCGGACGAAGCTTCCCTTCGAATCAGCGAATCGTTCTAGAAGTTTGTCGACCGGCGGCGCAACTGAACGCGCGCTTCCCAGCGCGTTCTCGAGAATCGGAAACGACGTTTAATACCTTCCGCGTCGGCTGGCGCGCGATCGTGTATTGTGCTTCGTTCGGCGTTTCAACGTACGTGCCGAGGTGAAGCCGGGAGTCACTCGCTCGAGGGATCTCTAGTCGACAAGACGTATTCGTACGAGCCGCCGAGTGCCATTCTCTCCGCGGGACACCCTCCCCGCGCATCGGCCAATCGCAGTCGACGTCTCTCGGTGCCGACGGTGTAACTCGTGTAACTGAGCGAGCACGGCGATCTAACGGATTCCTTCCGCGCCGGTTATCAAGTGATACTGTGGATTCTTTTTTCGTTTGGCGTTCGACGTACCTGTGCGACGAAGTGACTCGGTGCCGGCGGCCGGTTAATTCGCCCGGGGATTCTCGAGCGGACAGGAAGCGTCCGCGAGTTACTCGCCGCGCTGTGACATTTTCCGCGTGTGGTTGGCACCAATGTTCCTCTTTCCGCGGGAATCGTCGGTTACGCGCGCGTATCGCAACGATTCGCGAGTGTATCAAGTTCGTCGGAACGA